AGAGAGAGAGAGAGAGAGAGAGAGAGAGAGAGAGAGAGAGAGAGATCTTATGTGGACTTCACTTCATAAGCAGTCAACCATTTTCTATAGTGCCTGTCCTCTGTAGGGTTGCTGATGAGCTGGATCCTAACCCAGTTGATTTTGGGAGCGAGAAGTGATGTACGCCCTGGATGAGTCGCCAGCCAATCGCAGGGCACATTTTGGCTACAATTAACCGGAACATGTATAGTTTTAGAGTGGGAGTGGAGTGGAGAAAATTTCGCATAGTAAGGCCCAAGACATGCTTACCACTCGTTCACCGTGCTACCATCAATGAATTTAACAATAGATTGATATTAATCAAGTGAAGACAATGCAGTACTGTACATAAATTACGCATTAGCAGAGCCAGCGCCCTGTCCTTCACACGCTTTTCAAACGGCCCTGCCTGTAACCAGTTATTATTGAAGGCGCCGTTAACCCAACGACTCATTCGAAAATAGGCTTCCAGAGAGCTCATTTTTATCCCATTGTCCTGCTTTATACACAACGGTGGGGAAACCGCACTTTATTGTCCGCCTAAATCAGTCCCACATCAAAGCTTAATCTACAGCCCATTCAAATGATCGACTTTCACACGTTCCGCGCAAATCCCCTCTTGTGTAACATTCCTACTTTCTAGCATCTGATTAATCCGTGACCTTTGATTGTAAAGTGGCGCAAATGTAAATGTCTTCCTCCGCGATAACCGGAGGAAACAATCATGTATTTTCATTGTCCGAAATGTGGCAGAGGGCCACTATTGAGGAATTATCATCCATCTGTACTTGTGTTATTTAGTCAGTACAAATGTGCAAATTTACTTTCCTTTCTCACTGAGATGTAATCTCTGTCTGTCAACTGGCCTCCTTTTTTTTTTTTGCAACAATTTAACTTTTGACGCAGATCGGTGCGCTGTCGCAAGGGCAATATGTTAGCATCGTGAAAGATGTCTTGAGCACCCGATCCTTCACCGCTCTCTGACCTTTCTCCTTCCTGCGACCTTAACTTTCAGCGGCACAGGAGCCCCAAGTAAGACATCTGTCTGACATTACGTACTACATAGGGGAGGCGTCCTCCTGCTTGGCAATGTGGTGTGAATGGACAAACAGCTTGATTCATGTTGACTATTGCGATAGTGAGTGCTGTTCTTACACAACTCCCGATTTTAATTCAACACTCCTTTTTTGAAATTGTAACCTCTCGTCTAGTGAATATTGTGTCTCAGTTAAATTCATTGTCACAATGAAACAACCAAAAAAAAAACACCTCACTTCAAAAATACCCCATGAGGAGAGTCACAGTCTGATGTTCTAGGTTTGATTCTCTGCTCGCAGGAGTGAGGAGTCTAATGTTCTTCATGTGCTCGCGTAGGTTTTCTGCTCTGGCATCCTCTCACATTGCAAAAAATGAACCTATTTGGTGAAATGAAAACATCAAATTGTCCGAGGGTAAGAACATGAGTGTGAATCCTAAGATTTGATTCAGTTACCAATCCAGGGCGTAATACGCATCTCGGCCAAAATCAGATTGGTGGAAAAAAGAATAGATGCTGTCACAATGTAACGCTACTAAAGTGTATACCAAACAGTGTCGATTTTTTTTTTCTTTCAGAACCCGCGTGCCCATTAGGCAAATGCTAAGCGACCCCTGGAGGATATAAGGGCGGGGGGGCGCCATATCCAATCTCGCCTTGGGGGGCCACATTGGGTAGGACCGGCTTTGGGCTCACGACACAATACGTTGATTTGGTTAGCTCCGTAAATAGCGTGAAACAACTGCAGGACGGCAGTGAATTCAACAAAGAAAAACACGACCCAGTACAATGCTGTGTGCGGACAATATCCGGAAACAAGCAACACAAACGTCTTTAAATCCTCTTTCTGTCATAACCCGCTGCACTTTATGAAGGCGCTTTTCCTCCCATTCTACAGGGTTCCAAGTAGCACACAAAGCGGCAGGACTGGGTTATTCTCCAGACGAATCAAGGCCCATTAAGTGCTTTGAAAAGCAAGAAATGACTCGATTCATAAAACATCCACAGCGACGTTCACACATACAGATTTTAAAATGCGCGTGGGAAAAAAATCCTGCAATGCACAAACTACTGTTTATTACCGCAGACAGTCGCGGGTCTCCTCCCCTTGAACCAGATGTCTGCCATAGTATGGATTTTGTATGATTTGCGACCATAAATATCGAGCATTATAATCTATTCAGTTTTTCTAAACAGATTGAAGAGGAAAAAATGGGCGTGGTCTCCAGGGGCAATCTCGCTTTTGTGCTTCAGCCGCACTGTTCAACAGATGTGTCACATACAGAAACTTTAGCATGGCACTGTTAGTTCCACCTCCTACTGCACAACATTAATAGAAGCCAAGAATCCACCCCTACTATAAAAAAAGGAATTCTCCAGCAACCAAACAACGGACAGCAGCAGGTCTAACTCCACAACTCCCAACAAGCATTTCTAACAAATAAAGGACACCTTTTAAACAGAGCCAATTCCCACTAAACTCTACAGTGGAGTAAATGAAGACCAGTGCACAGTATTTGAGGAAATATGGTTCTTTGGAAGGAATTGTTTCCAATAAATTCCGCGGCAGCAAACTGCCATAGACCGTTGACGGGTTTTGAGGCAGACTGGTTTTAAAACGTCCTGGAACCTTTCTGACACACTTTGATAATCTTATCACAGAGTGTAAAGACTCACAGTTGTAGTCCGAGTAAATGTCTGATGCTGTTCATCAAGCATATTTATGGAAGTGTCTTGTCCATCTGCACTTTAATCCGCTGCCCGAGATTTAGTTTCACATTTAATCATCGTTAGCATTCTTCATTGTGCTTGACAGCAGCTGCGCGGACGAGAAGTGTGGGGATATCACTTTGTTGCTGTATGACTCCCACTTGTTTCAGTTATTTCCGATCATGCCCCCCATAACCATAAAGGGTCCATCCTGAACTTTAAACTCGGTGTTTGTGTTCTGAAGAGGCCCAGTGGTTTCCTCACGGTTGAAAGGTTTTCCCATCCCGCCTATTGTGGAACCTTTTCCTGCCCTCTGGGCTCATATTTTTAAGTGTTGCTTAAACCACGGCTTACAGACTAATATCACGTCTTTATTACTCTTGTCCACCGCCGGTACCCCCCAAACCCCCTGCAGAAAGTAATTATTTATAATCCACCCCCTCCCCCTGTCAACAAGTGTGTCTTTACCTGTGCCAAGCATCTCTTTGTCCTGTATGTTTGTTTAATAGAGTATCTGCAGGGTTCCCATGATGTGTTTCCAGATAAAAGACCATTTTATGCCTTGACAGTGTAGTTACTAAAATAAGTATTAAGTACTACTCTAGTGTTTATCCATTCTCCACAGCAGGAACCTTCACGGTTTGTCCGCAGGGTGAATAGATCTGCAACAACTGTAAATGCATTACATGCCAAGATGTTGGGCCTCAGTGAAGGTGGCATTTTTTTTGCTTTTGGCTCAGTTTAATCCTCTCCTCGTCTGGCTTCTTAATACTTGTGTGAGAGTGTGTGTAAGCAGCTCAACTGATCTGGCTGATTAAATGGCCATTATTAATGAAGTGTGCCTCCTGCTTGTCTGACCTGTTGTGTTGTCTTTTGTGATGTTACCACTGCGATATTGAAATGCTGCTCATAATAATGCCGGTTCCCACCGAGAGGGTGGAGAAGTTTGACACTTTTGTGTTAGTGAGTTTGGGTGTCCAAGTGTGGGCTCTTCATTAAGTTGGCGGCTCACTAACAAAGAAACACAATCATTCATTGCCTTTGGCGTGATACTGTTGAGACTATGCTCAATATTATTTACTCTGGCAAATACATGACATAATAAAAGACATTAAATCACTCAATAATAAAGTGATTATTCCAACCAGTCAACCCAACCAATTTGCATATTTATATAAGGAGAGGGAAGGGATGGGTCTGGAACTCCAACATTGATTTGAGATGTATTGAAAGGAATGTTTTTGGATTCATGCATGCGTACAGAATCATGCTCATGGATTTTTTTGGTGCGTGACATTTTCTGGATTTGGCGGTCCACTATATTTTAGTATGAAAGCAATGCAAGCCTTTGTACATGAGGCCACCGGTGACTATATACAGTATAACAACCTACCTGTTTGGTTTGACTTCGAGTCACGCTTTTCCTTTGGCAATAGCAGATGCTATCAGAAACTGCCCAGTCCAAATTCAGCCAGGGTAAGGTCCTTTACAGTGCCAAAGTGGAATCGTACTGGATGTAGTCCACTTAGATGTCTTTCCAATTTCCATTGTGTGGACTGTACTTTAGTGAACCATGGGAACTGGTAGCTATTTTAGTACCCAACTTCTTGGATTTCTCCGGCTGGTGGCCCATCCAGGCTATACCAAGTGAGCTGGGATGGGCTGCAGTGCATCCATGGCTCAAATGATTAAAAGGTACATTGAAAATTGATGGGCAAGCCTCTTATACAGTATTTTTCTGGTCCAAAGCTGCAAAGCGTACCTAAATAGCAAATGTAAAATCTTCCAATATTTGTCATCTTTCCATTATGGTACACATGACATTGGACCATACCTGAAAGGTCGCTGGACAAAGAATTGTCACTTTTGTGCGATCATGGGAATGAAAAAAAAGACCTCTTTAAATCTTCCCCTAGTGCTGGCGATCAGGACTGAGGTAAATGTTGCCATGTCAACGTATAAAGGAAGACATTTGGGAAGCAGAGGAGTAAACAACCATTGTTTCCCGTGCAGCTGTGCCGAAACCGCACTGTCAGTTTGATCGATAGTCCCCTCACTATCATGTTGATATGCGGGCTGCCACCGTCTAATTCAGTTCGACCGTGTGAAATGTGCCCACTAAGTGCCCACCGATGTGTCACATGCCATTGGGGAAAGGTCAGTTAAGGTTCCCATGCCACCACCCCTGTGAGTGCATCTCTGCTTGGCATCGTACAGCCGTCTGCCTCCTTCTTATGCTTATCACACTCCACATGTCAAGGGCCAGTGTGTTGATGATAAAATGGTGCCTGTTCTTCCTGCTCGGTCATTATGTGGCTAATTTATCATGCCAGCTTGTTGCTCTGTCGTCTGTTCAGGGTCATAGAGGGGGGAGGCTGCACACGGACCACTGTAACACTTTAATGGAGGTTTTGGAACAAATTCAGTGCCCATGGAGCTCTTTTGTACAGAAGTACTTTCGTAGATAAAGTGAAGTTCAACCTCTGAACTTCACTATCAGGGATTTTTTTTTTTTTTGGGGTGGGGGGGGTCAAGCCTGGTTTTATAGGCGCTGCCATTTTGGAAATGTGAGTTGGCCCATTTGTTGCACTAATGTATCAGGAGAGGGCTGAGTGCAATATTGGATTGCCCCCTAAATGTTAAAATTAGAATAAACCACTAACCTTAATTTCGGACCCATCTGAAACATGACTTTTCTCTCTTCATCTCTGAATTTAACTTAAAAATGACATTCCGGATTTAGCCCACTCTAGTTCTCGGTGGCTCATATTTGGAATGAACCACCACAGAGATTGTGAGCCAGCAGGCCCTTTCTCACATCCAGCATCAGTGACCTTTTACCTCATAATTGTTCTTCTGCATGAATGGACAAAAATCCCACAGATTCCCAGGAGTGAGTGGAAAATTGTAATAGCTGCAAAGGCGTGGTGCAACCATACCCCCCCCCCCATTCTCAACTCCTGTACATGTAAGGACCAGACATTCCAAAAACTTTCTTACACTCCCTTGGCCTTCTTCCTAAAAGTAAATCAAATGATTGCATAATCTATTCTACAAACAGCCATTATATTTTGTACCCTCGAACTGAGGTAAGTTTAGGAAACAAAGAACTTGATAAAATGTGAACGAGTGACGTTTTTAAAATTAAGGTGCAGGTTTAAGAAAGCATTTGATTGAAAACCAACTCTTGTCTTTTTACCGGCAGTTTTGACGGGCCTCTCCTGTACACCTCAGCAATGTCTCAGTCTGGAGAAAAAGGAAAGGTGAGTCACGCTGTGAGTTTGGACCCACACATACGTGCGAATGCCCGAGCAAAGTGCTGGTGGTGAAATGTGCCATTGTTAACATTTCAGATTGCCTCAAAAATAAATTGGGTTATTGTTTCCCGCAGTTCCCTGATGCAGCTGGTTATGTGGGGTTTGCAAACCTCCCAAACCAAGTTCACCGAAAGTCCGTGAAAAAAGGCTTTGAATTTACCCTCATGGTTGTAGGTGTGTGCAACCGTTATTTGACATTTTAAACACCTTAACTGCTATCATGTGTTCTATGAGGTCTTCTGACACACCACTTGTACCGCATGTTGCCTCTCTTTGTTTTCAGGGGAGTCTGGTTTGGGAAAATCAACACTTATAAACAGCTTGTTCCTCACCGATCTCTACCCTGAACGCTACATTCCTGGCGCCGCAGGTAAACTCCCACAGACACATGTGCGTTTACACGCACGCACACGCTGTAATAATGGAGAAATGTCTGCTACAGTGTCTCCAGCTGAGCATTATTTCAACAGGAATGCTGGGAATGCCTTACTTTGGCTTTAAACAATGATCCAGACGCCCTCCCCCTCACCCCCGAGGGTCATTCTGTCCAAACTTTTTGTATGACAAAAAACACAATTTCACGTAACCCGTGTGGAGCCGACGGTTGAGACAATGTTGCACAACCCATGATGGAAAGTTCAAATATTGTGAGATCGCCGGGGTTTTTATCTCTGTTTTCGACACCTGACAACCATTCTCCGACTCCACAGAAAAAATCGAGAGGACGGTGCAGATCGAGGCGTCCACCGTGGAGATCGAAGAGAGGGGGGTGAAGCTCCGCCTCACCGTGGTGGATACACCGGGCTACGGCGACGCCATCAACAGCCAAGACTGGTGTGTTTGTTTGCCTTGTAGGAGGAAGGAGGAGTGAAAACATCTCGGGGAAACGTGTGCTTTCTTATCCTTACCTCCGGTCCTCAAATCCCTTCTTAAATTTCATCCTTGACTCCGTTTCCACGAAATCCCCCTCCGTTTGTCCACACGACTGACGTGCCTGTGGTGTTACAAGAACATATTGTGAATGTGTCCAAAAAAGATCGTTATCAGGCAATTCAATGTGGAACAAGGTATCATTTTAATGACGGGATATGTCCTGTTGTAAAAGGCTACAGTGAAACCTTCCAAGATCAAGCATAATCTGTTCAGCATTGCCAATTGACTTCCGACTTGTAAAGAGTCATGGTATCTTTTTAACTGTGCAAACAGTGTTTCAAGTAACATTTTCACACTATCAAGTCTCATACAAGTGACCCTTTTATGACCCTCACAAAGGGCAATTACTGTTGCTTTTTGCAAGGTCTCATCATATCAACATATTAATATGACATCGTATTTAGATTATAGTCCATTCTTTTCATTATTTTTGACGCATTGGGTACTTGGCAGGCAGTACGATGGACTAATGGTTAGCAGTTCTGTGGGTCGAGGTTCATGTCTCGACTCAGGCCTTCCTGTGTGGAGATTCTCCCCGTCTACATCAATTCATCCATTTTCCGCTTATCCTCACAAGGGTCGCATGGGGTGCTGGAGCCTATCCCAGCTCTCTTTGGGCAGTAGGCGGGGGACACCCTGAACCGGTTGCCAACCAATCGCAGGGCGCACAGAGACGAACAACAATCCACGCTCACACTCACACCTAGGGTCAATTTAGAGTGTTAAATCAGCCTGCCATGCATGTTTTTGGAATGTGGTTGGAAGCCGGAGTACCCGGAGAAAACCCACGCAGGCCTGGGGAGAACATGCAAACTCCACACAGGGAGGCCGGAGCTGGCGGTACCTCTGCACTGGCCCCTGGGCCCCCCCCCCGACCCACTTCCATGTTAAGCTTAATTAAAGACTCCAGATTGTCCATCAGTGTGAATGTGATGCGAATTTGAATCTTGAGGTTCCATGGCGAAAGTGGTCGCCCCTGCTCACTTGCCTTTCCTTTTTCAATCCCGCACGGCGCCGTGAAGTTTCAAGACCATCATCCAGTACATTGACAATCAGTTTGAGCGCTACCTCCACGACGAGAGCGGCCTCAACCGACGCCACATAGTGGACAACAGGGTCCACTGCTGCTTCTACTTCATATCGCCTTTTGGACACGGGTAAGTCAATACTTGCTGACGTCATCTGACACTGAGATTACAGTTAATGGCGTTAAAAGTATTACTCTCCCCTGATTTGTATTTTTATTTTATATGAAAGCTATTGAATGCCTCAAGTCAGTTGTTTTTTGTTACATTATTCAGTGTCATCACGTGAGCTCTCTCTGCCCTTTTGTCCCCCTTGAAATCCTTTTTCATATTGTCATCCTTCCCCGCTCCCCAACAGCCTGAAGCCTTTGGATGTGGAATTTATGAAGGCCATCCACAGCAAAGTTAATATCGTTCCAGTCATCGCTAAGGCCGATACCCTGACGCTGAAGGAGAGGGATCGCTTGAAGAGGCGGGTAAGGCACAAAAGTTGATCCGATGCGTTACACTGTTGCTATCGTCTCTCCACCTCCACAATTGTTCCAACAATCACTTGTTCATATTTAATGGCTTGCGTTTTTACGAGGAAGTAAATGTGCGCCTCCCTGGGGAATTTCAATGATTTATGTGTTTTTTGGAACAATATCAAAGTATGGCAACGCGGGTGTTTACAACGCAGATGAGCTCATTTCATCCAGTCTCTGCTCGTCCTTCATACTTCCTTTTGGAGCACCTCCAAGTGTCAGGCCGCTTGCACGCTCCCAAGTTTCCTGCTGACGATAGGTGGAAGGACGCAGTAGGACAATACACACGTCACAGCTGATCGCATTCATCGCAGGCTTTTCCTGCCGCTGATTACGCTCCGACATAAATTACTTTTTCAACCTGGGAGCTTTTTAATTGGAAGTCACCCCAGCTACCTCTTCAAAGCTCAGACCTCCCCTCCTGTGCCTCATTCAGGCCCCGGAGCCGGTGGTCTGACAGGCATCAGGGCACCAACTCAAAGGAATCTTTTCACTTTCACAGGAAATTTAGTTTGCCGAAGGTTTTCCACAGCACGACTGCTTGAAAAGCACTGAGGCAGCATTTTGTGGAATTGCAAGGTAGCACTTGACGGCCACAAACATTTCAATTTACTCTCACCCTTTGACTGTAATTACTTTAAACATGATTAAATGTACAGTAGTTTTTGAGGTCGAGTCACAGTTTGATGTCAGATAAGCAAAATTATATATGGGCACAAATTACACATTCAACTGAATGACTTTTATAATCGCGATAAGAAAGTTCAAGTTGAGTAATCAATAAGAAGTTGTGGTTTGTTCATTTACATGCAGTTAAACAGTTTTTGTTCATACATTTTGTTGACGAATCGGACTAAAAGATGACACCATTGTTGCCCCCCCTACCAAACTGATCAGTTCAAAAGTCAACTTTTGAATTGAGCCTGGGAGATTTCCATCCGCTATTGCTGTCTGGAGGGCAGTAATAGTTTCAGTGGAGGTGTGAGTGGTTCTCACATCAGATGTAAAGTTCCTCCATTGTGTACAATTGTCCTGAAGGGGCCTTTCAAGCCGAATCGTACTTTGTCGGGTTGCTTTGTGTACTGACCTCCATCAACCCTTCCTGTGGCCATTTGGATTGAGCAAACCTTGTTTCCTGTCACAACTGACCTCAGTCCTAAACTGCAGGTACTGTATCACACAATATGTAGTATTGACAAATGGAGGCTGTGTTTTTAGGCAGTCCCTTCTTCCAGCTCTCTTAGAGGTTCCAGTTCAGGGTCTCTCTGGTGATGTTTGATGTCGGTTTTAATTTCAGCTACTTCTTCCAGTCTCATCTTTAACTGATGCTTGCTGTGTTTTTATACGACACATTTTTAAAATAGTTTAAGCCTTAACATTTCCCTCCCACACGCTTTAAACAGTCTTACGTTTGTTAAAACCCATTTTTAAAAACAAATTGTATTTCATCGCGCAGTATAGCAGAGGATGACTGTATTTCTATTGCTTATGGGAAAATTTGTTTCTGGAAAAACAAACTGGGGCTCCATAAGAAAAATCATGCTCATAATAATATCTCTTAAGTTGATCAAATAGCATTTGGTTGTTTGGATCAGATTAGCTGAAGTGGTTCTTAGGGGAACACGTGTGCATCCTGTCATAATGTCCAGTAGAACAGAGTCCAGCAACACTCCTTCCTTTGGTGGTTCCAGTGCCAGCAGCCGTGAAGGGTGATGCATACCCTGCAGAATTTCTCACGCATTATTTATTTGTTTTCATTTTTTGAAATTTTGGATTTGATTTGATTTTTGTTTGCGAGGCATTTATCTCTTAATAAATGAGACCTCCCACCTCGGAATGCACTTTCTCCTGTTAAAGCGAGGGGAAGCAGCTCGTACAGAACAATATACATTTCCTGCAATGCGTCACAACCCGGGTCAGGAGACGACTTATCTCAAGCAGGTCAGATTTACAGACAAAGTGGAGGGGTGGGGGTGTGGGGTGTTGTAATGTTACTGTTGTTAATATTTTCTTTTTCTCACTCCTGTTTGCTTCTCACACAGAGCACTTGGTTCCTCTCTTGAAATGGCCCCCCTCTCCTACCTCTTGCTTTTTTTCCTTTTTTTTTTCTTTATCTCAGCCCGCTCTATTGGCAATTTCCTTTGGGGGGGGGATTGTCTTGTGGTGGTCTACTGCTCACAAATTGCTCAGTGAAGTGTATTTTGGGAGGCTGATCCCCTCTCTCAGTCCGGGGGCCTTACAATCATATCCTGTGTGGGGGAGTTGAGTCTCAATCAGTTTTCGTACTTTTTGTTCTTGTCTGAGCTGAGAAACTGCACATCTGGTTGAGGTGGGACACAAAAATCCGGTGTAACTTTTTACTACACATCTGCAGCGATCTTTTAACGGCGTGATCTCTGCAATCGAAGTGAAGGACAAATCTTTCATCTTCAAGTGCATTCAATGGAGAATAGCTCATCCAGGAAGTCAGCTTCCTTCCAGCCTTGTAAAACTTTTTACAGTTATTAAATATTTATCAAGTGTTTGTATTCATCACTTGCCCGTTCACCCGTCATTTTCAACTTTCACTACTCATTCTGTTAGGACACATTTTTGGAGTTTTTCCCGTCAAAACATCAAACGCTTGGCGGAAACATTCAAACATTCTTTTACCGGAAAGGTTCAAAAGTGAATCGGCAGCCGAGATGATGCAAGGCAGTCAAGATTTATAAATCATCCTTCCAGTGTTTATCAGAATCCATGTTGGATTTCTGTCCCAGATCACACCCTCTTTTTTTTTTGTTTTTGTTTTTGCTTTTGGCTTTGTCTTCATGAAGACTACTGTCCCAAACCAAAGTTTGGCAAGTGTTGGAAAGCTCATCATCTCTTCTTTTCCTGCACGAGCCTTTTGGCAATAGACAACTGTGGTGCGCTTTTTCCTCTCTGCTTACCTTCTGTTTCCTCTGTCCTGGCTTTTCCTATTCCATGTTCTCATCCCCTTTCTTCTCTCAGCTACCTTTTTTGTCTCTCCCCCATCCTTATTGCAACGGCCCTCTCCCTTCCACGCTGGACTCCAACACAGGGCACCACCACCGCCGCCACCCCACCCCCCCGGGCACCCCCATCCCATTACGTTTGGCCGCTCAGCTGCTGTATTTCACCCCTGGCCAGGGCACAGTCAGTTTTCCCCTCATTGTCTACCTCAATGTCGTCTCCCCAAAGCACTCGAGCATGTGTTGCTGTGTGAACAAATCCTATGGCCCCGCAGGGACACATTTTTGTCCAGGATGATCGTACCAGCCTCTGTTTTCTTCGAGTACAATAACTAAAGCTGTTTCAACAGTCTGGTCTGTCTGTTGAGCTGGAAAAGACCAGGCGGAAGTTTTGGCTATTTTTTTTTTTTTTTGGAAGGGTAAATTTAAAGACTAAGAACTTATGTAAAGACTGATGAGTCTTGATGTGCGTCTTCCACAGGTTTCACTTTCAGACAATTAAAGTTGTGCGAGAGGTTTATGTTTCTGTAGGGATGGACATTTGGCAACATTTCTTACTGGAAGATGGGGGGGAAATAACCCATCAGTTTTATGATAGGGTATTGTTTTGAAAGGGATATTAATTTCGAGGTCTGACGTTATTAAAATTACGGCTCTGAAATGACCTTGTTTGAACCATTTGGCTAAATAAAAACAATATCAAAATAAAATCGTTTTTCCCATTAATTACAATCTATATTTGGAATATTTGGTACAGAAGAAATGTCCATCCATCCATTTTGTAAATCGCTCACGCGCACCCGAGTCGCTGGCACAGAAGAAACGTGTACCATGCTAGAGGGCTCATCCGTCCGGGATGTTCCATTCTTCACAAACATGTTATTTATTTGTTTGAAATCAGTGCAATTATATTAGCTTGCATTTTCATTGATATCAATTTGTTTTGGAGAAATCAACATAAAACTAACGACTTTAAAACCACACCGTAGAAATGAGCGATATCGCTATGCTCCCCCCCAGGCATCCATGTTTGCAGTGTGTCTTTCGTCTTGCTCCCTTCTTCCACCTCGTCTGTGCGTAACTGCTCGCCCTTCCCCTCTGTGCTCACCGTGAAAGAGGAAATAAAAGTTAATTAGAGACAAATAACTTCAAAGAGGCGGCTCATTGACTCAACTCTACGCAGAGCCTATCATATTGTGCTCTGGTTAGAAGTCCCATCCAAAAAAAAAAAAAAATTCTTGAATTTTTAAAAGTACAGTAAATCGTCAAACTGGAATAAATCGTCAACACGAATAAATAAAAGTGACAAAAGTCTTCATGATCAATTCTTCAGTTACTAAGCCCATCCCTGGTCTCTTCAACGATGTTGTGCATACAAAGAAAAACAAACTTTACACATTTCTCCATTTTTAGTTGAACTGTGCATTGTCACCTTCTCCCCTGCTCTGCCTTGTCCTCTTTTAGTGTATGAGGCCTTACCGGCTCTCTTTCCTGCCACTGTTTGAAACACGCGGATATATTCATTTTCTTTTTGTACCCCGCTATAGTCATTGTGCCAAGACAAATCTCTCCAGTTTAAAACAATAAATAAGCACTTTTCCTCATCAAGTAAGCTTCTCTTTAACACAGAATGACCCACTGTCTGGTGACAATTTTCTTCTTCCTGAGGAATCACCACAGGCTCTCTTTTATACTCAAGAGACCCTTTCGATTTGGTGACCAACAGCGGAGTGTGACGGTGTGGTAGGGAAAAAAAAAAAAAAACTGCATGCCTCACACTGTCCCCTTTCCAAATCTGCCTTTAACACGAGATCACTTGAATAGCTCAATTGTTCCTCTCCTTGCTCTTTGATCGCAGGAAAAAATGGGTGGTCTGAAAAGTGCTAAGACCTCCAGCAAGACAATGGGAGGGATTGAGGTGTGTGAGGACGTTGAACGCGGCAAAGTCATGTGACACCCTCGACGTTACCGTGGCTGCACCGACTTCCTCGGTACTTTCCATTAGAACAAATCCAGCTGTTCTGGTCCGGTCTGTTCCAGTCTGAACTGTCCTTCAGACCCTGATGGGATCTATCTGGAATGTGCGTGAAGAATCTTAAGTCCTGTGCACACAGTGGTATTGTTTCTTACTGTGCCACTTTATTTGAGCCTGTGCAGCTCAGATGGGTGGGAGACACAAAAAAAAAAAAAATCACTCATGGTACCAGCTCCTCCCCTCGACTGTTTTTCCCCAAGACTTGACGCCAGATTACAGGAGATCAAGAGAGTGAGGTGGCGGCCAGTTATGTGTGAGACGCGGCCACTCGGTCATCATCGGGTATTGTTGAGGCTCCTTCATCCTCCGAAAGACTCCTGGGGGACAACTGTTAGCCTGACTATTGTTTCCTGGTTACAGGCAAACACTTTTTGTGTATCCCCGGGGCTGACTACACGGGACAAATTTGAACTAAAAGTGAAACTGGGTTAGATTTCACCTGTGTAATGGAGCCTGAAAAGTTTGGAAACCTTTTTCTGGGGGGGAAAAAGTCGAGAAAATTAGCTTTTGGTGAAAACGTCAAATAGAGCAGTGACTATGATGCTAATTATTTTGCTTTTTGGACACCTCCAACTATTTAAAAAAAAAAAAAAAAAAAGACTGAGAAAGGGCTTTTGGGTCAACTCAGTGACAGTGTGAGTACAAGACTGAATGGTTGTCTGTCTCTTTATGTGCCCTGAACCGGTTGCCAGCCAATCACAGTTAAACCATACAGTACATATATACATACTGTACACCACAGATGTCAAAGTCAAGGCCTGGGGGCCAGATCTGGCCCACCACATCATTTTATGTGGCCCGCGAAAGCAAATTAAGCATGTCAAGTTCCATGATGCTTGCTAAAGTCTGAGCCAAAATTTCAAATTGTCATATGTAATCCACAATCATTATTCTTGATTCCTGATTTTAAAACTAGTTACTCATCAATTTGCTGTGCGCTGTGTTTGTAATATGTGGAGGTGATGAAACCTTTATATGGTTTCCCAAAATTCATAACGGCCCTCCAAGGCAAACCGTAACTACAATGTGGCCCGCAACAAAAATGAGTTTACACGGTTTAAGTGTGCGGTGCCTAAACATGGACGAGCTCCATCGTGTTGGCATTTCTCTCCCTCACAATCCACGTGAGGTTCGCTCAAATCTATATTTTACACTCAAGAGCTGTACTTCTCTCATATCCAAACTGAGGTAACATTGACATGTATCAGGTCAGCAGTACCGTCTTGACACGAATGAATACTTTCAGGGATTTGACGCCCTCTTTATAGCGTTAAAGAAAGAGCATTTTTAAAAAAATGCAAAGAGCACAGCGAGCACATTGTGGACAGAGACTCTTTTTATTCGTATTCAAATTTTTCATGGGCAGTTCAGCTTACAGTGTAAACGCCACTCCGCTGTTATGAATCAGTGAAATGTGATTCATGTAAAAATATAACATTCTTTCACTTGCTCTTTCAGAGTGTTATCTCAGTTTGTCGTTTTCAAGACTCTCCATATTGACACATTACTCTCGAGCTGGCACACAAATATTGCCCCCTGGATAACCTCAAAATAAGTCCATTTTGGTACACATGCTAACAAAGTGATGCATAGCTTTTAACCCCGCGGCATTCTGCAGAAGCTGGCAGGCAGCTTGGAGGTTACATAAATGTTACTTCAAGTCGCTTTTCTCAAATGTTTTTCTTGCTCCTTTCCTCTTTTGTGTTGCGCATTCCTCAGGAGCAAGTGGATTTGGAGGCAGATGAAGAGCTGCTCTGTACATTTGCAGAGAGTAATTAGTGAAGGTTGTAACTCTTCAAGTGTGCCTTTTTTTTTTCCTTTTTCTTTTCCCCCCCCTCTGGTTGGATTTCTTTCTCTCGCTCTCAGCGTTGTTGATTTCCTAAGAGTGCTCCCGAGCTCGTTTCTACTTCCAAGTATTGTTCCCAGTGGTCAGCCAGGCCAGAGGAGGCTCGCCTCTGTCTTCAACAACTGCGATTTCAACCATTTGCTGTTGTGTGTGTGTGTGTGTGTGTGTGTGTGTGTGTGTGTGGTCACTGTTTATCACAGTCCTGTGTTGCTCTCTTTTCTTTCTTCTTTGTAATCCCTCAGAAGGTGTTTGTTGGTGGTGTTTTTGTGGCTTGACTTGTGAGAAGGAAAACAAAGAATTAAATAGTTGATCGCTTTAATGATGAGCTTCTATTTTGATGGCAGGTTTTGCTGTTGACCGCATTCCTAGCTCTACGTGTAGGTCTTAAGTAACCTCTTTTTTGGCTTCAGTTTACCGGATTTGAACTAAATCTTAATAAAATATCAGCCTCCACCCTTAATATTTCTGCATGGATATCTTTCCACACACAATGCTTCATTTGAATGCTACACTGTTAACCAGAAGCTCAGGCTTCCTTTTCTAATTAATATTGAGGTTGACTCTCGAGGGGCATTGTTCGCCGCCTTGACGACACCGAGTTGCGTTGCTTGGCCAAGCATAACAGCTCGGAGTGAGTGTGGGGGCGAGGGAGGGGTGTCTTGTAGCCGCACAGGATGGTCATAAAATCAAGATGGCTCCCGCTGCCAACTGTGTGCCAACAAAAATACAAAACTACAAGGAGGAGAGTGTGGTGAAGCAAGCGGGATGTAGCAAAACTTGCAGGAGTCAACAAGGATTTGGAGGAAGGCGGATCGCGATCCTGGCACCTGTTCATGATTATCCTGTCGGCGTCACGCTGAGCGCGAATCATTCTCCCGTAAACAACAACAACAACAACAACAGACGCTTGTGCACAACTCGCCCATCGTGGTATCAATCCCCAAAAACTTTAATGTAAATTCAAACGCATCTTACCCTTTAAATAAATGCGTTACGCATACCGTCGAGAACTGCTGGTACAATTTCTTTGCCTTTTCCCATCCAGGATGGTGTTCTGCTTGCTATAGTTCACAATCCACACAGCCAAGGGAGATTCCATCCCCTAAAAACATGCTTCCTTGATTCATGAATTGGTGACGGTTGACTATACTGCAGTGTATTTCTGTTTTGCTTTTCTTTCAGTCAAAGCAATTACTATCACATTGTTAGGTGAATTGTTCGACTCTAATCCTGTCAAGAAGACTAATGAGTCCAATCAAATCCCCCGTGTCCACGCTATCGAACTACCGTACTGTTGGTTTGTTGTTTGTTTCTTTGTTTCCTGCCATTGTGTGAAGCATGTTTATTTTCTCGCTGATGGCAGACTTTCCCGAAACTATCCAGTCACAGCGTGAACCAAAATCGTCTTGGTCCGCCTTCCATGTTGGAAGCATTGAGAAGAAGCCCTGGTCTTGTGTCACGTTCTCCAAAGCGTGTTTGTTTTTACATCTGCAGCTTAACAATACCTAACCCACCCTCTCTGTCTCACACACACAAAACACACATACACACACTCACACACACACACACACACACGTACCCTATGCACATATGCCTCACTGAGAAAACAAGCTTTAGCCATAACAAGTGTGCAAACAGGAGCTGCTCCTCGTAGGAAAACCCGCTGTAGCTTCCCGGGATGGGAGCTGACTCACCGCTGTCCCTTTATACTCACCTCTACATGAAAGTGTCCCCAAAAGTCAGGAAAACAAGTCTTGACGTTTCTTGGCTCCGTTACATAACAATACAGTATGCTCCCGGGAGTACAAAAGACAAATGCTGCCTTGATGTTTAAAATAATAAATACTGACATGTGTCCCATGGTCAGGGTAAAGAAAAGCCCCTTTGTGTTAAGACGTTTCAGGCCTCGGCGGCCTTTGAATGGAAAACTACGAGGAGTTGACTCTTTTATGACTCGTTTTCGATTTGAAACACACACACACATACACAGGCGACTTATTTTTCACCTTCCACCCCCTTTCTTTCTCCACACTAGTGTCCTCCACGGGGGTTTTAATTAAGTGTGTTGCCGCAACAACATGCATACGTGCTCCCACCCACTTATTGGTCTTGTGAGGCTTCCTTCTTCTCTGTTTACGGCTCTCGACTGCAACTGTATTTTCGGCACAAGCGCCAGCGGGTTTGAAACAAAGACTTCTGTTTCACTGTGGATGTGTAGGTGCTCCGTGGAGTATTAGTTTTATGGAACATTTTTGGGGGTGGGGGGGGTTTCCACATCTGATCTGACTCTGTCTCGGGATCATAGAGGCTTGGAGAAGGGAGTGTTTGCAAAGTGGTCATGACCCCAGCCGGCTGGCCCTCTTTCTGCATTTCAGATCCTGGATGAGATCGCAGAGCACGGAATTCGAATCTATCAGCTACCTGATGCCGACTCGGACGAGGATGAGGAGTTCAAGGAGCAGACCAGAGTCCTCAAGGTGAGTGGTCCAGGCTGTAACTTTGTCTCCACCTGCTGGTGATAAAATTCACCTTCAGTCTCTTTCACGGCACCTTTACATGCTTGCGTCTACATTGGTGCCGCACCTTTTATGTTGCTTAAAGGGTTGTGACACTGAAACATGGCTATTTGTTGTCATATGCATGGTGGTTGGCATTGTCGATTAGGATTTTGCTCGCGGAGGTTCCTAAGGCAAAAGTAATGTGATTGTTTTCACCCTTTCATGCACCAAATATTGCTAACCCATAACCTGATCACATGATCAGCTGTCCACTGTAGTAACCGCTGTCCCTGAAAGGGTTAACTAGTGATCTAAATGTATTTAAATTCCCAATAACGGTCACATTTAATTGAGATGCACCTGTGTTTCCTCTGCTTAGGCCAGCATTCCTTTTGCTGTGATTGGCTCCAACCAGCTGATCGAGGTGAAGGGTAAGAAGATCCGCGGTCGCCTGTACCCATGGGGTGTCGTGGAGGTGGAGAACCCCGAACACAATGACTTCCTCAAGTTGCGCACCATGCTCGTGTGAGTCTCAAAAAAAACGACCCAAACTTTCTTCCATCGACTTCAGAAATTTGCCTCAGAGCACTACTCCCCCCACCCCCCACCCCCGCAAGCTTCTGAAAACCTAATCACCGGTATCCTGTGTCTCTTGCAGGACACACATGCAAGACCTGCAGGAGGTGACGCAGGACCTGCATTACGAGAACTTCCGCTCAGAGAGGCTGAAGAGAGCCGGAAGGTAAAATGCTTTTATGTCACTTGACCGCCGCGCAGCTGCTGCTTGCTTCCACGTTTAATCCTGGAAAATTTGGTTCCCCGTAGAGCTGTGGATGAGGATGTGATGGATAAAGACCAGATACTGCTACAGAAAGAGGCGGAGGTATATATACACACACACACACACACACACAGGCACGCACACACACGTGCAGTCGTCAAATGAGTTTCTCATGTATGTGTTGTTTACACGTTTGGCCCATGCGGCCTTGCACATCATTTGGCAACAGTCAACTTCCTAATGATCCTTGATGATCCTGTTTGTGTTACAATCTGGAGCGGGCAGCTGCAATCAGAGCGTACTGTAAACAAAATTATATACGTAGGGCAGTAGATGACCCCACTTCCTGTCCGGATGTCCTGGCCCACATTTATGGTGGGAATGACCTCCATTTGGAAAAAGACAAAAAGCTCAGACAATGGCCTTCTTGAAATCCAACCTTAGTTTGTATAGTTTGTGGTACTCATAGTGTTTTTGTTTTTGTTGAAATGCACCAATGAAAATTAGAACAATGCAAACCATCAATACATGTCATTTTGCATTTCGGGTGACGCATGTACTTAAGTGCCTTTGATTTAATGTAATAGGAAATACATATTTGTACTTAATGAGAATATTTGTCTAACTCTAATTTGACCTTGAAGTTAGAGTTTAAAAAGAGGATTACAAGGACAAATTGGTATTTGTTGTTACTGAGTAGTGGGGGGGGAAAATTTTAATCCAATGGAAAAAAAATTCCTACGTGTCCCTTATGTAGTTCTCCTTTCTCCTCACAAGATGGCAGCAGATAGCCGAGGAGCTTTGACTGGATGCTTACTTTTTCCAAATTATATTTATTCCCTTTGCCTTCATCATCATCATCATTTTGTATTGCTCTTTGACTTTCCTTTAGCTGAGACGCATGCAGGAGATGATCGCTCGGATGCAGGCACAGATGAAGATGAAATCCGACGAGTGAAAACACACACATACACACCCCATGCTGTCACCCGATACAACCTGCAAATGTGTTTTCAGGATCCGTCAGTTGTTTACTCCTCCACGTTTCCTTCGCACTTGCCATCATTTTATGACCTTTTAATTTTGTGATTATTTTAATATCTATATTGTGTCGTTACAGTGAGTTACAATTCATTGGCGGAATTCTGTTAGTCTGTTCATATGGTACACAGTATGGTCTGTCAGACTGTCGGATAAGATAGTAAGTACTATCATACTCATGTTTACCAAAGGTTTTTCTGTTCAGTCTTAAAAATAGTCCATTGCAGCACTCTTATGAGCGCCCAATAATGGTGATTTCTTTGCTTCTGTTCAAGTCACACACACTACACAGTATGATCACAGGTGTCATTTTCCTGCCTAATGTTGCCACCTAATACATCCGTAAAAATTTCTGAGGCTGCTACAAAAATAAAAATCACAATATTACCCCCAAACATGGTGCTTTAGTGCCATTTGCTTCTATTGTATTTATAAGGCGTATGACGTCAGTGTCTAAATGACAAAAGCTCATGTTCAGCAAAAGCCTATTAACAATACAGTGGTACCTCGACTTTAGCATGACCCTACTTACAAAGTTGTGAAGATACAAGCCCTTAATCGCCCAAGTTTTATTTTTTAAAATTTTTTTGGTGTCTTAAGTGCAAACATTTGAGTTACTAACGCAAGATGGGGCAGCAAAGTTTACAACTATCAGCAGATATTAAATAATTATTCCCCCCCAAAAAAGCCAAATGTTTGATTTCATCACTTTGTTGCAATTCCAAGTTTGCTGTAAAACTAAACATTTAAAAAAAACACGTGTATTTAACCAAACACCACAGACTGATAAAACATATAAGCATTTAATGCCATGGTTGTTTTAAACCTTTACACAACTTTTGTTTTGAACACAAACGGCAGACAACATATCACAATACTCACTAGCGTGGTCACAGAACAACGTTCAACTGTTGAAGTCAAGGTACCACTTAATGGACTTTTGGTTTTGGCCAGTTTTTGCATCACATGAGCAGGATTCAGTTTGGTATTTTCATGTCAAAAATATTGTTTTGCAGACTCGTATATAGAATATGTAATCACTGATTTTATACCGTCATGCAAATGTGCACTCGTTAACATGACTGACCCAATGTACTTCCAATGCAATAAAACATTGTTTACAATAAACATTTCGACTTCCTTGTTATTCATGTTTTCTTTTAGCTCTCTTCGCACATGGCTGCTGAAGTATCTGGACTTTACTGTAAATTTGTAATCTGACTGACTGTGCCTGACTATCCATGAATTTCCCAACACGTCACCTACATGGACTGCGATAAAATAAGACCGTGGATATCAAAATAAATGCAATATGGAGAGCAAATAAAAGATACGCATGGATAAAAAGTGACGCATGATAAAACTGGAGTAACAAATAGATTAAATAAAGCATTCTTATTAGTGACCCAATCTTGAGCGAGTGTAATAATTTTATTTTTATACATATATACATATATATATATATATATAATATATATATATATATTTGCACACACAATTTAGCGTCGAAACCTGTTAATTTGTTCTGTATTGTATCTGCTAAAATAAAGAACGTTGACGTTTGACTTTCTTGAATACCGTCAGTATTCTCAATCCACTTCCTGCTTGTTGGCCATTCAGTGAGCTGATTGGCTGAGCCAGGGCGATGGGCACGGCTTTCATCCCTGACTGTTCACCTCTTTTTTTTTTTTTCTTTTTTTTCCCCCTCCCTCTCGCTGCTTGCGTGTGCGTGTGGCAGCCGAGCGGGGCGCATCTCGTTGAGCGGTCGACATGACGGCCAGCATCCGATACAAGAGCCGGATTCCGGTAAAGACGGGTGAGCCTTATTTCATGCTTCTTCTCTGCTTTCGTTTGGAACCTGTTTCGTTAACAGAAGCGCTTCGTTGTGTGTGCGTGTGTGTGTTTTTCTGGGCGTCGATGTGCACCCTTGCACCTGCTCCTTCTCCTCATCTTCCATCCTCGAATCCATCGTGTGTATCGTGGCCTACAGAGGAAACTGCCGAGGTAAGATATAGCATTCATTGACTCATTTTGAAATTATTTTGATAGAATTTCATTTCTCTTTTTGGAGGATGATTTTCATGATTAATACATTATGAAGGATGCTAGAGGAAGAGGAGGAGGGGTGATTGTGCTGGTGGGCTAGGTTTCATTTTTAGAAGTGGAGCAGCATCCTCCTCCAGCCATTATAATTTTTTTCCCGACTCCGTTTTTATTTCCTTTTATAAAAGAAACAAAGCTATATAGCCTGCAGGGTTCTGTTGAGCCCGGACCCCCACCCCAACTAACCTCCGCTCACCCCACCCCCAGGTCCTTTCTCCCTCATGTTTGCATGTGCTAAGTGCTTAATGGCTGATCATGCATTCATAATATGCAACTATTAAGTTGCACTCTGAGTTACAACAGTGGCATATTTACAACATAATCATTTATCTGATTGGGTCAAGTAAAAAAAAAAAAAGGAATGGAAAAATTATATATTTAGGTTGTCATGGGTGGTGTACTGTAGCGCTACACTCGCCGGATTTAAGTGCAGCCAGGATGGGTTCATTTCCTACTCATATAAGGGTATGAATGCAAATCTCTGTATGTGTGCCCTGTGATCAGCTGGCTACCAGGTGCAGTCTGCTTTTCCCCGCCAGAAAGTGAGTTTGAATAATTCTTCAATTTGTAGTTAATTAATTGATTAAATTCAGAAGGAGAACAGATAGGGATGAAAGAAGTCACAGTTGAGGCCAGTGTTACGTTATTGCATCGAGCTCATGCGAATCTTGCAGAGTATCAATCTTTGCATCACAAATCACAATGATGTGATTTACTAATATTGTTATTGAATTAAACAAGGTTGAAAGTCTAATTTCTGAAAAATATGCATTTTATTTGCCCATCTATCCAGACATCAAGTTTATTATTGTCATTTGCAGCGCAGTACTTAACTCTGCGCATTTTCCCAAAAAGTGCAATTTTGCTTATTACGATAACAATAAGCATAATCACGCTGTTGTATGTACGGATGATTATGGGATTATGAGAGCGCTGAGGAGGGTGATGTAAGGCCACAGTGTTATTAACTGTTTAACGACAGGCTCACAGTGGCAGTTTACACAAATCTGCTTAATCCTTGATAGGGCACTCATTGAAACACTCAAAAATTCAGATTTTTAAAAACCAGAAAAATATTGTGCTTACAAGCCTGATAAGTATTATATTTGTCAATGTTACTTTTTCAAATATATATTTTTTCTGAACATACTTTACTCATTGGCCGTGAGGGATCACATGGTTTTACGGCCTTATCAGGAGGCCCGAGGCATCCGTTACCTTAAGGTACCGTGATGTGGTTCCCCAATATGTGCTACAGTATAGGCGGCATGCTGCCCGCCCGTCGCATATTTAGGTCACCTCCACAATATGAATATGCACACTCATGTGTGAGACATGTGACTCGAGGCCTTTGCAACGATGAGAAAATGTGAGAGAACAAATGTAGTCATACACGCCACTTAGTGGGTTGCACCAGAGGACGGGGTGACTTCCTGTTACGATATTCAATCAGTGGGTAGAGCTTCGCCGAAAGACCGCGAAGTTTAAATCGGTGAGCGTTTAAACGAAACAAAAAAGTCTTCTCTAGTCCCCCCCCCCACCCTTCACATTGACAGGAAAAAGAAGAATAAATCAAATGCTAAGATGGTATATAAAGTACTCTCCATGCTCTCACTGTCTGACTCTTTAGTTCTTCCTTCAACAATTGGTTTTTCTTCAGCTCTTCATATCCCTTTTTCCGGATGTTTCTATCATATAAGATTTCTACATCGATCACAACTGCTGTCTTCTATCTTCTGACGTTTATCCCCCACCACTTTGTTAGGCTGGTTGGTTATCACCAGTTTGGCAGTCCGGATCTGGAAGTCCCACATGATTTTGGGATGGTTGTTCTCAACCCCCTTTGGAGGTGGATGCCATCTTGATTTTGGAACCTGTAGTCCATATTTGGTACACTAGTCCTGTTACCTGGTTATGCCGCTCCATGTGTCCCTTGCGGCCAGCCTCTTACACTCGGCTGCAATCTGCTGCACCAGCTGTGGCGCTTCCTAGTTGCACAGCCTGCACCTGGGGTCCTGGTGGTTGACCCCAGCCTCTATCGATCTTGTATTCAGGACCTTTTCTTGTGCTGCCATGATTAATGCCTCCACGATCATGGTATAAGGCGGTCTCTAACTGCCCACGTCACATGCACGGCTGACTACGTCATCCGCAAGGGGAAATCTTGCAGTTCACGTGCTAATCTCATGCACAAACTCCATCCAGTTGATTACTTTTTCCACAATGTCATGTGCCGTGACTGCTTCCGCCACGATCGGCCAGAAAAATGCAATGCTTCATCCCACAATGGCGCAAACGCCCCGTTACGCCCAAGTCTACCTGTACAAAGTCTAGCAATGTACCAAAAGAAAGAAAACTCCACACAGTTAGACTGAAACATACTCTAAACTTGCGCTGGGACTGAAAATAGGGCCTCTGTTGCTTCTGGGGTTATAACTACCACAACTTGGATGCTAATTCTGTTAGCCTTTCTATGGTGTATTGCATTGTGTGTTAGCAATAAGCTACTGAACTATTGCAAGAAATGTGGTTTTGTTAAATACATGCAAAAAACAAAAAACTCAACCCCCCCAAAAAATCTTCCGAGCGACAGATCGTATCGTCACTTCTAGGTCTCACCACTGTGCTTTTTGGAGATTACATTTATTTAACAGTGTGTACAATATGTACTTTTTGTGACATTTGAGTTTGTGCGTGCGCTGTAACCTTTTCCGGTGTGTCTTGGCTCGATAAAAGTGGGAAAACACAGGTGTAAACTCTGATAGTTACACATTGAAAGGTCTCCTTGATGCGTCAGTATCTTTGGAGTCCAGGTGTGAGCTCCCATCCTGTTGTTTGTCGGCTGCTGTTTTGTCTCCTGATTGAATTATGACCCCCTGCAGCCCCTTTCCTGGCAGATAAGCCAGACAGACAGATTTTCTCTCTCACAGAAATTCACACTTGGACCAAATCCAGTTCATCCACAAATCATTTTGAGGTCACATGGTATCAGCACACACATACACACACACAAGCTTATGATTTTTTCTGGAAAACCAGGATTAGTATGATGCCTGCCAACATTAAATCCAACCCGACTGCTGTACTGTATTTCAATGAAACTATATTTACTTTTTGACGTTTTTCACATTTTTTTCCCCTCTTCCTCGTCTCACTCCCACTTATCGCATCCCATCTGAGCTGTTGTTGGACTGCGCAGCGTCCAAAATAATGCTGCTGACATTTGGTGGATGTTGCCATAATTTCCTGTGAGCTGTGGTAACACTGTTGCCAGGCAACAGTTTTTTTTTCTGATGTGAAGGAGTGGACTCGGCTTTCATGAACCATCCACAAGTTTTAGTGGTGTGAGTTCTGTGTGTCTAACACTGAATAATTGATTGATTGAGGAAAGCATATCAAGTGTTCTATTGTTCTCATCACATCGATCGTCTTCCCAAGAGTAGCGAACAGATGTCGACTCTCTCTTCTCCCAAAGTGCACATTGAGCGTGTGCAAGTGGGAAGTGAATTGGAAGTCTTCAATAGACAATAGAGGAAGACGTTCAAGTGCCTTGTGATTACACTTGAAGTGCATTTGTCAATTTCAACTTTCGATGTCACAAAATAGGTGGCTTACAAAACATTGGGTATATAATTCACGTTGAAGTGGCATTCTGTTTTTAATCAAGACAACTGCTGCTGGCGAAAGCCAATCTGTGCATCCAACAGTAGTCGGTGCAGCTCTGCTTACCTTTTGACTTGGACGGAAGAAAAAGGGCACACTCGCGGAGGATGGGGTTGTTTCAGTGTGATAGCATTTCAGACGGTGTAGACTGGCCATTGCTTGAAAGTGGCTCCTGATCTTCACCCAACCTTATCATGCCATCGGTGGAGAAACAGTTTTTTTGTTTCACACTTGGCTGCCCATGGCTGGGCAGGCATGCCAGTGTAGGTGTTCACCAACTTCCCTTTTTTTTTTTTTTTTTTTGTAGTTGCCGCTATAGTTGAGTTGATGTACATTAATTGATGATACCATCGATGTCTTTTTTTCAGTTGTCAAGTCACTGTGTGTGC